GATGTACATATTGTGAGAGATGTGCATATTGTGTTTCAAAAAATCTTTCTCTGAAACATGGTTTTCAGAATGGGAAATAGCTGGGGAATCACTATAAAGGTTAATTTCCTCCAATTTACCTCCAACCGTTTGGCTCAGTTGGTTGAGCATCAGACTTTCATGCAGGAGGTCGTGGTTCGAATCCCGCCCGGACCAACACTCAGGGTCTTAAAATAACTCAGGAGAAAGTGCTGCCTTTGTAATTACATCTGCAAATGGTTAGACTTTCAAGTGGCTCGGATGACCACTTTAAATGGCGGTCGTCTCCACACTCATCATTACTAACCAACATAGGAGGGACATAAAAGAACTACTGAGGATGTAAAGAAACCCTGGCAGTGGCCACCCTCAGTGCCTAAACTTCATACTAACCATCTCTCATGCTTGTAAATTGCATAAAAGCAATCTGTCATTCACTCCTCAATGTAAAGCGCCTTTGATTATATTCACATAGAAAAGGTGCTATATAAATTCATAAATCATAAATCATAATCATTATATTACACTTTCTGAAGGATTTTTATTCGTTGATTTAACTTCTTTAAATTCTGACTTTCTGAACTGTCAATTGGTCAATTACTCTAACTTCGCTATTCAACTGCACTAAATGCACACACTGTGAACTGAACGGTTCCAACTTATATACTTTTTGAGCTATGTTCTAGAAATTATTTTCTATTTGTTGATATTTTTAGTAACTTACATCATACCTATGTTTAACAATTTTCTAGAACTTTCTGGAATATGAACTAATGCATGACTTTAGGCATGAAACTTATCTATGTCTAGAAATTTCTAGAATTTTCTGTTACTTGCACATTTTCTAGAATCTTCTAACAAACAATTTATTTTGAGATTATTTTATTTGTTTATTTCAGAAATGCCATTATGTTTGTGAGCTCATTCTACAGCATCATCTTCATATTTTCAATGTTGGCTTTGTTTTTGCAACAAGTGTTCTTCATTAGCTTTAATATTACTGGAGATGAATGGAGAAGAGGTTCAAGACACAAATCATTATGGCAAATTCTCTCGACAAACCCTCACAATAGAGGATTTTTACTCAACTGGATGGATTTTTTATTTCCCAGATTACTACTACAAACCTCCTATGAACTTGTTTAACAAATATTGGAGATACTGCAAATTGTATTTGAATTCAGTTTTCAATAAAAAGTCCCCTTCACAGTTCCTTCTGCCATCATGAAAGGAAGGCATGCCTTTGCAGTGAAGCAAGATGAATGGTGAGCTTGCAATGATAGAGACGTGCATGATTGTCCAACGTGTTTAAAAATGGTCTCTATCATTGCAATTTCACTGTTCCTCTTGCTTCAATGCAAAGGCATGGCTGCCATTCAAGATGGTGCAGGGAACTGTGAAAGGGACTATTGAGAGCATTCTCATTCTTCTTAGTTTTATTTATCTTTTCATTTGTATAGCAGGCATTTGTGACATCATCTCATATAGCTAGTATTTATGATTTACCTTCCTTTCTTAACTGTTGCTATATCTTTCAAGGTGGTGTCCATGTCTCTTTTTATTTTTATATTTTTCTTTTAGATGAAAACCTGTCTAATTATCAACTATATTATTTGTATTTGCCTTGATTGGTTTGAAGTATTTGATCCAAAGTATTATTTGTAGTGATATAGTAACTGCAAGAGAATATGACCTAAGAGAAGGAATCCCCGTGCCCCATCATGTGCACACTTTGATGCTATTTTTAGAATCTATTCTAAAAATATCATCCAATGATATCATTTTTTTGATCGTTTGATTTTCTGCACGCGTATAGTACGCGCGCGCTCTACGCTGTTTGCTAACGTTTTCTTGCGCTTTCCTTATGTTCAAATGTTCAAATCTGCCCTCAAGATGACGATGTAGGTCGAAATTTTTGGAAAATAAATGCTAAAAAAAGAAAAGAAAGTGGAACAAATTACTACTTCAATTTCCTGTCGTATTTGCTAAGCAATCGACGTGCACATTCATCTTCAGGGCAGAGTCGAAATAACGGAAAAACCCTAAAAAAGTAAGCAAACAGCGTATAGCGCGCGCAGTAAATGCGCGTGCATAAGAACAAATGGCTCAAAAATAGCATCAAACTGTGCACATGATGGTTACAAGGCTATATAGGGGGGATTCCTTCTCTTAGTTCATTTTCTCTTGGTAACTGACATTGTCAGCTTAACATTGACTGTTCATTGTTTAATGATAGAATAGAATAATTAGTCATTCAGCTTATTTATTATATTTTTTATTATATTTTTCTTGTACGTAGAAAATTTCGTGCTACAAATTATAGAGCGAGAGAGGGAAAGCCTTCTAACGGTCTGGCTTTATATTTTATCGATATTTCCTCTCCCATCTCATTTATTCTATTACATAAACGTGAAATTGATTATATCAATGACTCATTTACATTAACAAAATTCAGCTAAATAATGACCTAAACAGTCTTAATAGATGCTCTAAGGGGTAATGTACTGGGGGATACTGCATGGCTAGACAGCACAGCCATATGCCTGCCTTACATCACTAACAAATTTTTCGGCGGTTCCCGCTCCTGATCGATTGTAATACTTCTTCCAGTATTGCCCCTGAGCTTCAAGGTCATATGATGGGGGTATAGCTGCAGGAACTGTTGCCAGAAGCAGACGTGCTGCTAAGCCGGAATAGAAAGGTTTTTGAAGGTCTGCCCATGATGTTTTCGTCCAGTCGATCTTGAAAACGTCCTTGATTCGTTGGTGGTATTTCCTCAGGGAAGGTCTTTGTACGGTATCGAGCCATCCTATTTGGTCAACCTATAGAGAAAAGATTGTGAATGTTAAATACAAGACCAACGTTTCTGACATCGAGTTTATGGAGAGGCCATCGCAATGTTTCGAGCTCCTTTTTCTATGGTCTGTATTCTTATTGAACATGAATTGCCGTCCGTATATGATCCAAACTCAATGGACCACGAGCGCAGCGAATTGTTTAACTGCAAAGTTTGGATCATATGCTGACGCCAATCCTGGCCATGTTCGATAAGGATACAGACCATAAAAAAAGGTACTCGATTTCCTAATTAGAGACCGCGCGCACCAAGTGTGTTTAATTCAATCCATTTTCCCCGGCAGCCTATTCTTTCAGGGGTAAAGTCTCAAATTTCGCAGGTGACTGATGAATTTTGGACAAATTCCATAGTATCATGCGAGTCAGGACTTGCAATGGAATTAATACCAGGCTGGCCCTCGTCTTTAATAGTTTTAAGAGCTCGTGGAACCCTAGACTTGCCCCAAGTCAACCTCACTTGTCTCCCGTGAGAGTTTTTTATTCGAGCGAAGCCGATAATTTGATGAGCGCAGCGAGTACGCCAGTATAAATGCACAGGGTGGAGGACATTGCGAAAGTCTAGTGGAACCCAGGATATCACGAATGCAGGAGCAGCATGGGAAGATCCAGATGACGACGTTTTAGATAGGTTCATCATAGAAAAAGTGTGTCTACAAACCCGTTGGGGGGAGGGGGGGGTTACACCCATATATGGACTATACGGGGATGATCCGCTGAAAAGGGTATGGTTTCTCGAGCTTCTTGTCATAAACAGGGTATGCGATTTCACTCGAGGTCCAAGTTCTTCCTGAGTTTCTTGTCATATTCAGGGTTTCTACTTTCGTTTTGACCGAAACTGGTTATCATGGTCGTAAAAAAAACGATACGCGATATGACATGATAATTGAAACAGGGACTCAGTGCAATAAATTATATCTTTTGTCATAAACAGGGTCCACAAATTTGATTTTTTTTGTCATAAACAGGGTACCCCTTTCAGAATTCCAGCGGAACACCCCTACCCAAATTCTGGCGGAGTACCCCCCCACCCGGGTTACAAACCTGCCAAATGCCTCCATAGTAGAAAGGCCTATAAGTCCTGCTGTTTGTTCCATATTTGGACTCGACCCAGGCTACCCTGCAAAGAAACTTGTTATCGTCTGGGAAGATACCATGTTCATCTATCATAGTCACTACTTGTGCTACCACGTTTGGTCCCTTTCCTTTTGGCGTGAAGGGGCCATCTGACACCACGACTCCAAGAACACAAAACAACAAAACCAAAACCTTCCCTGTCATAAACTTCATCGTAATTTTTCAGTTGATTTCCGTTGGCTCTTTCCAAACACTGAAAGACCAGAAAAAACTGGTGTAATAGATACAATAATTCATTAATTAATTGTTTATAATGAATGCCTGTAATGCTTAACAGTTTACTGTCACTCGTTAAGACTTAAATGACGCGTGTTTGATATTTTGATTCCACTGTGTCCCTGGCATTGAGTCAGGAATGAACTTACTACAGCAGGTATTCATATCTAGCTCAATTTTAGTGTCTATAGAATTACAGTAAGTAGAGTTTGTAAACGGTATATTCTTATAAACTAAAAAATTCACTTGGAATAAAATTTTGAACACCCACTCGTTGTAGTATTGATCCCCTGGGATAAGTTTGAGGCCAAGCCGTTCAGTGTTTGACGAGCTACAGTAAATTTAGTTTTTCCCTTCTAAAATTAGGAAATTCCTAATTTAACAAGTGAAAATTAAAACAACATTTATCGTAGTCTATACATTTACTGTAGTTCGATGGACACGGAAATTGAGCTTGACATACCTGTTCTAGTTATTTTACTTCCGCCGAGGATGGTGTTAAGAAAGTTTGTTTAAAAAAATATTTTCGCAAATATCATGCAAGAATTAACACAAGTGACGACCGTAAAATAATATCGTATAAAGGTGGGTATATCATAAAGCAAAATTTGGTAATAAACTTAATATCACGGACGTTTGCATTATCACTCATAAAGTTAATAACAGAACACAACTTTTAAGCTTTACCCTAGATAGTTAATTACGAACCCTTCGTTAGACGCAATTTCTTTTGAAGATCAATGCGCTGCTGCAGCTAGATTGTAGGACAAGGTGTCGCCTGTCTCTTTCCTCGTATTATGGACCCAGTACGAAGTTAATTCTAGATTTTGATCTCGAACCACTGGAAAGTGAAAGTCGTTGTTTGATGGCAGCAGGTCACGGGATAACGCATTCGGCAAATGAACTGTGAGAAATTAACATACCAAAAATAGCCAGATTGTTTTTCTTGATTAAAAGAAAAGTCTCGTGGTTTTCATTTCGCTTTCCGTACTTAATCATCTTTGAGTGCTTTTGGAATGAAGGTTTAGTAGAAAGGGGGTGTTTGCTTTTTAAAGACTTTAAAGGCCGGGGGCTTAATAGAGGAAATACAGTATTTTAGTTTGTTTGCTTTTCAAAACTGCTCTTATTAACGCATAAGGATGAGGGGGGAAGCGGGAAGAGGGGGTTTAGTACGTTTGCACAGGCGTGTGAATCGCTATGAGGAGCGGAAAAATGCGTAGTCGATTTCTAAAAGCAGTTTTTTGTTCGTTTCGTTTTATGCAGCAATCAAATACGCTTCAACGAATTTGTCGATTCTTTCCGGGCCATATTATTGCTTTAGTATCTTGCAGATGTCACGTCCCTGACATCAGATGCAATTTCTTCATTTTCTAATAAAAGGAACTTGATAGATAAACTGAATTGGGGGACATGATTGGGGTCGAGGGTGCTGTAGAATTGCACTGAATATTTCCAGTCTTAACAATAAGACTATTCCTAAAATATTTAGCATTGCAAACAGGGGGCAAGTCAAAACCTATTACTGAATAAGTAATAACTTTCCTTCCCCCGGAAAGGTCCCTACTTCCTTTTGGTGTGAAACGGAAGTTTCTTGACCTGATGTTAGAATTGAAGGAAGTCATTGCGGGTCAAGGATTAGTGTCTGTATGGCACATCTGTCCTCCTTGTGTCGTTCGTCCTTTTATTTTTTTCGCACTCACCTTTCCTTCATTAATTAAATACTTGCATACTATTTTGAGCTTGTATCTACATGTTCCAATTACCCACTGCGCTAACCGACTAGTTCGGGTGACTGCGCATATCTCCCGGCATCACGTCCAAGTTGGGATTGGCTTACAATCACAGGCCCGAACAGGACATTGAAACAGGACACCACTCACTTGGCAGGATGAATTAAGGGACGGACCATTAGATAGTTGATGGGGGTTGCCAAAAATAATATCGAGCAAGCACTTTAACCTCAAAAAAATATCCCTAAATCATTATAAAAAGAGGACCCTTATTAGATACCAAGTCAGAAGGTTTCTTGACATTTACTTTACAGCTGTATGCTATATTAACCCTCTATCCAAAGCGAGCCAAAGATAAGGATGAAGCTTGCCATTATTTTACTTGTACTTGGTTTTGTTGGACTTTCCATCGTGCCTAGCGACATTGATGGTAAGTATACAACGTAGAAGAGATAACTAGCTAAAAACTAGTGTGAGCTGCGTCGGTGTTTCTAATGAAACAGTAATGATAAAAGGGTAAATTTTACACCGTGAAAAGATGAAAAAACTTACTGAAGTTTCGGACGCTAGTCCTTCGTCGGAGTAAAAGAGAGAGAGGTGAAGGAGTGTTTTAATCCCGTTGGGACTAAGAGTGCCCAATAGATGAATAAGCTGCATTTCTTTGGTCTTGCGACAATCATTGTTGCCGTTAATCAAAGAAAGACCGAAAACCATGAAGTCAGAAAGAGAATGGTTAGCTTGATTAAAATAGTGGGAAACTGGTTTGGTAAGATCGTTTGTGCGAACAACGTAGTTGAGTGTTTAACCACAGGCAGCCAAAGCAAATGTCAGTCATGTACGATTTTTCTCCATTTTATGAATCCACTTAGAATAAAAGGTTAAAATTAAAGTGTTTTGCAAGTCCTACAGGAATTTGTTAAGCAAAGTAAGTGGGTATTTTCAGATGCCGGCACAGATCATTTATGCTTGGCATTATTCAGGTGTGATTTCTTTCTTTTCTTTTAACAGCTCTCAGTTGCAGCTCAACGAGGCTGATTCGTCGTGTCTACGTCGTTCGGCGCAGCCTGCGTATATATAATGCGTTCAATATCCTTAGAGTCTGTCATCTTGCTCATTCTGGTCTCATTCTTGAGATGGAAGATGGTAAACAGTGTGTGTTGGAGTATATGGGTGATGGAAAGAGCCATCTTTATGACGCTAGACCGAGCCGTACTACAAACTGTTGGTTTGGCAGAAAGTGTAAGGTATGGTTTCCACAGCTCCACACCCCTAAACTCTTACTTATTGGGTTAACGCACATATTGGGTTACTTGCAAATTTTTTGCGACATTTCAATTTCGCCTTTTCAGGGGTCTAGTATTTCGCGACAATTAAATTTCACGGTTGGAAAAAAATCTGCTATTCTTTAAATTTCGCGATTGAGTTGAATAAATCCATAAACAGCATATGTAAAAACTACTCAGCTGAGACAATATCATTCAAGCTTGTTTTTAAATCGAAACAATGGTCGATTGAGACTCATTTGTTGGAGTTGCATTGAAGTTAGATGAGACTGTTGTCCACATTTCTCAACCTAAACTGAAATACATTAGATATTGCTGTATCCCAAGAACACGTACTTCTGTCCTGAACTTCAATGTTTTCAAAATGACAAGTTATCTAATGGATATCTAAAATGAAGGTAGATTGGACTCGTTTACGAAAGAGCCGGATTTTCGATGAACAAACTTGTTGAATTCACTGAGTCAAAAATTCAAAAACTTTAAGCTTGAGAGAAAATTTAGCATTTACTGTTGGAATCAGTTGTTTACCAGTAAAAGGAAGAGGTTTTAAGATAGCTGAAATCATTCAAGGTTCTCGGAATAGAAGAATTAAACATAAAGGCACAAATAATTCGAACTGAGAGGCAGGTATAAAAGTCGGATCGGATCGGAATATTTGAACTAATTGAATTATTGAAATATTTTCGAATATTTGATTTTTTTTACATACCTTTCTCAAGACATGTTTGTGCACTTTTTTAACGGTGAACCATTCATATTATTAACGAAATACAGTGACTGCACATTTTCGAATCATATAGCAGGAAAAAAGGAAGTAAAAGGGAAAAAAGTCGAAAAAGAAAAGGTTTCCAAATTATGTTTAAATACAATAATTTTTTGATCGCTTTCGACTGAAATTTTCGATCGCTAATATATATTCGGTATTGAAATGATTTGATTCAGTTTCTTTTTTGTAAAGTGATGTTTTTCTTATTTGGGAATTTCAATCGAAAGGATTCAAAAAATCATATAAAATGATAACAAAGCCGTGGTTAAAGTTGAACATCCAATGTCGTAAGCTTACCCGGCTGGGTACCCTTTGAATATATATTTTTTCTTTCGTCGTTATTTTTCTTCTTTACCCTGTATTCCCTTTACTTTAAACCTATATTTCCCAATTACATTACTTTGGGGGGGAAACATAATTTGGAAACCTTTTCTTTTTTTGATACGGATGGTTCACCGTTAAAAAAAGGGCACGAACGTGTCTTGATAAAGGTATGTAGGCTATAAAATCAAATATTCACAAAATGTAGGCTATCAAATCAAATATTCGCAAATATTTCAATAATTCAAATAAAATTCAAATATTCCGAGTCGATCCGATCCGATCCGACTCGGAACCAATCCGATCCAACTTTTATACATACCTCGAACCGGAGAGCATCTGGCGGGAAAAAACACAAGTAAAATGCCTTTCAAGCAAGTAAAAATAATCTCTTTTTTATTAGTATGAATCCTCAAATACTAAATTTGATTCGCTTTTTCTACTTGGCCGATATTGTGATCCTATTTCTATTGAATGTTATGATAGAATACCTGAACGTTGAGGCGCAGCGAACATTCAAGGTGCTTAAAATATGAAAGAAAGTTCTAGTTTTAATAGTCAAACTTTTTAATTAATTCACCTTTTCTCAATGGGCAATGTCTTTTACATAAAGTGACATACCGTATAGTTTGGCAAGCTAAACATATTAAATAATTGTGAAAAATCATTTCAGTGCCTTTTGTAGTTTTTTCCTCTGTGACAACAGAAAATTTTCTCCGTACATTTCGGTGCAAATAGTTTGTTCTGATTCGTGTGTGAAACAAAATACTCATCTTGTTCATCGTCTTCTTAATCACTTGAGCGTAAACTCTATTTACTACGGAATACGCTAAACGCTTTTTTTCGCTGTTTAACTGTAGGTTCTTTGCTATTTTCGTCGCTATTTTTTATCGCGGTTCCTTCCCTGGCGTCTTCGCTGTTTTTAGCTTGTTCGTATACTGACAACCATCCTGATTTGATCGATGTTCTTTCACACCAATTAATGTTTAATTCGCCTATAAAGAATACATGAAAGTTTGATTTCAACTTTTTTTCTGATTTTGAAGACATTTTTCTCGTCGGAAACTAAACATTTTTCGTTACTATAACTCTGACCATCAGGAATCTCACGAATCTCATGCTAAAAACAGCTAAGGTTTGCGCTCGGAGCTAAAAATAGATTTTCTGAGCTTCTTTCTGCTTCAAACCCTCTAAAAAAGTAGGATTGAACTCAAATATGCTATGTGGTCAAAAGACAACTTATTTCTAAATGATTCACTCCAGGGATGCATATTAAAAAAGTAGTAAAAGAGCACAAGTGTTCATGGTTAGTGTCCTCACTGTAATCCTAACTCAATGCTCACTTTCCTTTGGTTGAATAGAAGTTGGTAATGAAAGACGACCAGGGTCAGACATACACCTGGACTCGACAAAAGACAGGAACCCCTCTACCTAGGTTGCGCAGAGTCACACCACAAGCAGCCCAAAGTAAAATGAAAAACCTTATGGGAAGTACCTATAATCTATTGAATAACAACTGTCATTTGGCCCAGGAAAAATTACGCAGGTCGTGGGGTCTAAAAGTAAAACAGTCCTACTCTGATCCCAGAACCATCTGCACGTGCATAAAATGGGTTCCCAAAAGCACAGGTTTTGTTGGTTTGATTAAGGCGTACTGCCTAACCCAGAACATTTAGTTTAAGGTGGCAGCAACTTTGAAGCAAAGCTTATAATTGACCTTTTCGGCGCTAGCCGTCACGTAGTATAAATCGTGTTGGATTGTGTTACGTCACCAAAAAGTTTGATTATTGTTCGAATGTACTGGCTTTTGAACAAATTGTTTTCTTGGTTTGTTTATCTGTTTCTCTAAATAGCAGTATAAGAAAAACTTCAAACAATTTAGAAAAATTATATGTTGCTTGTATTTGGTGAGCTAACTAAACAAATCAAGTAAATAATTTGTCTAAATCATCGTTTCCGATGAACTGMGGCCTTTAGGTTTGTGACGTCACACTCGCTCAACAACTAGAAAGAAAGGTAATAAACGAACGTCGGCGTGACAGTTAACTGCCTCAAAATTTCTAAAACCGTGAGACCCTGTAAAGATCAATCACACTCAGCTCTAGGATAACTGAAAGGCATTTCGATAGTAACTTTCTTGTGAGTTGTTTAGCGAGCGATGAAGTCACTTGCGATTGACGTCCATAATAGCCATTAGTATTCAATGTCCAGAGGCCGTAGCTCACTGGAAACGGCGCGGGTATCGTAATAACTAATTTAGTTGAATGTACAATGGTAGCAGGAGATAATTACAAGGGGAATCCATCCCCCAATAAAAACTAGGTCCATCACAGGCAGCAAGCAATACATTTGTAGTGTGTACGAAGGGATTTGTAGTAAATGTATAGGACGAAAACATATGTATTTTTCGTTTAAATAAATTTCAACTAATCTTGCTCCGGTTTTGTTGTTATTGGTATTTAATGTCATTCTGGGTAGTTTTAAGCTGTTTTAAGGTGGCTGGACCCCCTCACGCTTGACCGCTACCTTCCACTTTTGGAACTCTGGTGCATAAACGTGTTTTATCCGATTGCAAACCTTTTTTTGATGCAATTTTTAATGAGATCGGAAGTCATAACACGTGATTATGATGAAATATTTGTTTTCGTTTAGAAAATAATTTTAGCCTTGCAGAGCGTTCAACACTAAAATGCTTCGTACCACATAATTATTTACTAGATGCCTCCATTTGTAGGGATTTTTGAAAAAATCTATCAAGCTAATTATGAGATATTTGAGATTATTTAAATATAATGCATAATCTACTTCAAAACTAAACAATGGATTTCATACGGCCGAAATTAATATTTCAGAGCTATATATTCACAAAAGTCATTGCTCATTTAGTTGCAAGACTAAATTGCAAGACTATTGAACTCAATAGAATTCCCAGAGCATCAAATCGTTGGGAAACGATCAATGTTTTCTGTATTTCTCGTTCGCTTTAGATCGCTTTAAATGAGTTCAATAGTCTTGCAATTTTGTGTAATATTAGTTTAAGTTCTAATTTGTATCCTGACGTAGTTTTAAGAGAAATGATCAGCGAATTTTAGAATAATGGAAGACCTAGTAAGATTGACTAAAACACTGCGATGAAAAGTGCGCATCAAATGTTTACCC